ATTCCACATCGCATTGATCAGTCCTACACTGGATATTAGGGGGGACGGAGGGGAGGGGGAGGGTGCTTGCTAGCTTTCACCTTTTGCTCGCGGCTTAACATGCACCTGCTACGAGCTCGTGTGGAAGTACATGCATGCGTATTTGGGAGAATTTGATCCCTGCGATAGCACCAGTCGAATCCGCCACTCAGCTGGACTTTGTAAACTTTCCTCGACCTTGCCCAGACCCTGTCTACATTATCTTTCGAAGGGTTTCTTTTTCTCTCGCAGCTTTCATATTTTCTCCTCACTGTTTGTCATTCAACGCTAATTTTTTGCTACGTCATTCTCGGCCTCTGGGATCTTTTAGTTCTCCATACGATATCTATTTCCATCACTGAAAGTCCTGACTCTTTCTTCCCTTTCCAATCCCTTTCTGCTACCACGTGGATGTGTCACGCAATTATGTGGATGCCCTTTCAGAGCAACAACTAACCCTCATAGAGGACAGTTGATTAGGCTAAGAAATCACTATATTTCGCGCTATCTCATCCTCTAGGTGAAGGCGTGCTTTGCTACGGGTTGATCAGCTGATTAAGTCTTACACATCGTTTTTACGCCCTTAGCCGGGATAAGAGCCACGTAACCACGTGATGAAACGATCTCTTCTTAAGCGGGTTAGTGACGGTGGAGAAATTGCCCGGCAATAGAGTATGTTGACATCATCAACCGGACGGGCCTTGCCCCCAACACAGCGGCAATTGAGCGTCTTGTTTCTCATCTACATCACAACATTTTTCTCATTTAAAAACATACTAACATTCATTCATTTTTTTGCGCTTTCGTTAACCATCGAGTTCTTTCCACATTCATTAACACACTTGACTATCCTATTTCACGGATTTGAGGCGGTTGCAAGGATCGACTTCATCAGTAATGAGCCCTGTGACAAGCCCCGAAGAATGCAAAAAGTATCCGAAAAATGCAAAAAACTAGTCGCCAAGAAGATGCGATCCTCAAACCCCTTCTCGATGGCCCACGATCCACTCCGCCATCCATCGACCCCAAATCGGGGGTTCGCGGGAATTGTTGAAGTACTTCGGTACTACTTCTCTCCATGCACTTTCTTTTTGACTTTATTTTGCTCTCTTTTCGATACATAGTGAAGGAACACCTCATAAACTATGCACTCTCAAAGTTACAGCTACAACAGAGCCCAATAAGACGGTTAAAATAGCCCTTTCTTGTCAAATTGTTTTCACTCAGTTTTTGGCCTCCTCAGAAAAATAAAGAAACCCATTTTGTTGATCCTTGTATGGACCCCTACAACAAGCAACAAACCATTTCCAGAAAGGAAAGACCTCCCTTGTTAGTGTGGTGGTGAAATTATGTAGTGAGTGTCGCCCATGCCAACCAAGCCTTCCATACACCGCGCTCACAAAAATAGTAAAAATTGAAACTGGAGGGCTAGATTGATGTGGCTGTTGAAGGAAGATACAGCCAGAAATCCGCAACCGCCGTTTAGGCAGGGCACGCCATCGTTGTGATGATCACAATGGGAGGGGGTCGTATTTGACCGCGACGGGGGGTGGGGTTGTATTTGGTATGAGAAAAAAAATTTTTTTTATAATAGATTCCTCTTGTTTCACGGACTATAAAGGGGGAGGGGGGGGTTCGTATTAAGTCGTTGTTGGGAGAGGAACTGCCAAGATCAATATAACTGTGATAGTTATATCCTGATAGCGACGCCCCCCCCCTCCCCCGCTTGACAGCAAAATTTTGGGGGGAAAAAAACCAGAAATTTCGGAAAAACTGCTAGGAGATTAGAGAAAATCTGAGAAATTTTCCTGTTTCACATTGGGTATACAGTGCGTAACAAAAGTATGTGGACACCTCAAATTTTTGTCCTGCAAAATTGCCTTTGAATTTTGCGATATGAGACCTCTATTGTTGAATTCCTCATAAGCGAAAACATAGGAATACACTACTTCTGACCACTTTGTGAACTACTGTACAATTATTTATTGTTTTGAAAAAATTTCTTAATAACAAAAGTATGTGGACACTTAACAAAAAACAAAAGTATCATGGAAATTAAAACTTGGTGCTCCCTCCCGCGTTCACTATTACTTCGAACATTCTGTCTGGCATGCTGTGGACAAGATTTGTCATGGTGTCTTCGTCGATTTCCTCCCATGCAGCAACTACCGCCTCCTTCAAGTCTCGCACGCTGTTGTACTGCCGACTGTTCATGTAGATTCGTCGAACCATGATCCCCCACAGGATTTCGGTTGGGTTGCAGTCAGGAGAACACGCCGGCCAATCAATCACTTTGATACCATTGCGTTGGAGCCATTTTCTAGTAGAATTTGAAACATGCACGGCGGCGTTGTCCTGCTGCATCACATGTGTCCTGCGTCGTGGCCCGCTCAGAAAAGGCAAGAGGTTAGACTCAAGCACTCCTTGGTATTCCTGACTGTTCATACAGCACGATGGGAAGGCAAGCTCCAACTTTCCTCTGCTTCCAAAACCACCCCGTACCATCAAAGAGGCGCCTCCGAAATTTCGTCTCGAGAACATCAACGGATCGCTACAAAGGTCTTTCCAGTAATGCTGATATCCATCTGGACCGTCGAGATTGACTTTTTCTTATCAGTGAAGATAACCTAAGAAAGAAATGCGCATAAGATGTTGCCTTTCTGATTTTACAAATATCTCAAGAAACTGCACCTTGTCCCACGACGTCGCCATGTTTGCACGCGCAAAGTTCAGTCTTGCCAGCTGGTGCTTGGCAGTCAGACAGGGAGCTTTCTTCATGGTCTCTCGAGTGATGTGCTCACTTGATCGAATAGAGCGCCATATTGTCATTTTTGAGACCGGTAGATTCATCGCGGCATGGATCTGTGCCACAGAAAGCGGGAGTTTGAGGCCATTCTTCTGATGTCTTTTGCGGACAAAGATCGTGGGTGCCTCGAAACAGGTACTGAGTGGTAGCCATCAGGATTCTGGAGGTATATACCAACGCACGTCGCCGAAAGTCCAAGCTGTCTTGCAATTTCTCTATTCGAGTGTCCTGCAGCACTGAAAGCTCGAATCCGAGCTTGTTCGTCTTCGTAATTGTACAGTAGTTCACAAAGTGCTCAGAAGTAGTGTATTCCTATGTTTTCGCTTATGAGGAATTCAACAATAAAGGTCTCATATCGCAAAATTCAAAGGCAATTTTGCAGGACAAAAATTTGAGGTGTCCACATACTTTTGTTACGCACTGTATACCCCCCCCCCGCCCCCCCCCCCCGTCCCCAGGTGGACGGAAAGCCCTTCGCAGAAAAACAGGATTTCCCGGGAAAAATGGAAAAAGTGGTAGGAAGTTGGGAAAATCTAGGAGAGTGGTAGGTGGCATGGGGAGGGGGAGGGTCGTATTTGAGGATGGAATTGGGGGGAAGTTCGTATTTCTCAGGAAATGGTGTCACAACGCGATGGCGTGCCCGGGTCAGGCCGATGGGCTTGGACGCCTTACTTTGGTACTGGTACAGTCCCGGCAAAAAAAAACTGGAACAAGCCCAAGTTGCGCGCTTTTTAATAGTTTTACATACAATTTTAAATTGCACATGAAAACTTTGTTTGCTCTGAAACCAAGTACGCCTGAAAAGGCTATTCTAGAAAATAAAGTTGGTTGATTGAATTCCGACAGAATTTTGAATATTATGCGATGCGGCATGCCGCTGCCACTCTGATATTGGACCGGTTTTCAAATTTTTAATGCTTTGAGAACAATATAGGTTTCTCGAGAGTTGTTAAAAAAAAGAAATGCAAACTATTAGAAGCTTTGAAAACCGGTCCAATATCAGAATAGCAGCGGCATGCCGTATCGCAATAATCTGAAAATTCTGTCCCTGTAACTAATCTAATGAACAAACTATTTTTTGGAATAGCATTTTAAGGCGTACTTTGTTTGAGCAAACAAAGTTTTCATATGCAATTAAGAATTGTATGTAAAACTATTGAAAAGCGCCAACTTGGGCTTGTTCCAAGTTTTTTTGCCGCTGCTGTAGATATCATACAGTTCTTAATTACGACGCTACGTCAGCTCTGCTTGAAGAAAGGCGGGAGATGGTTGTGCTGAACGTACTGGATGAACCCATTCACCACACAGCCATAGTGTATCCCTGTATTTTATTACTAACCATAACTTTGGCTAAATTGTTCCACATCTTGTGTACCACAGCTGTTTCTGCAATGGGGTGTTCAACGTGATGGCAAAAGCTGTCAGTGTTGCTTTTATGGGCGGTTGTTTAATTCTGCTCGTTCGTCGAACCCTCGTTTCTCTGGAACATTCCTATGACGTGACGAATGCGATCCGGAAGGGCCTTGAACAAGAACGGCCACTCTCACAGTGCAGACTTCTGGGCATCATACCCAGGGCACACGTGCCTTAGAGAGGACCTCCCCCCTCAAAGGTTCTTCCTGACCCTAACTACCATCTTGCTGAATCCTCCCCAACATTCTGTCACATTTCCGTAAGACTTCTCCAGTTTCTCAAATATGTAACTGCCGTAGTGGGGGCGGGCGGTCTGGGGAGTAGGTGGGGTAGCTAGCGCAATTGAAACAGGAGAAACCGAGAAAAGTTAACAACTAAAAACTTTTTCTCAGAAGTAAATAAGGCTCCCCCTCCCCACCTCCACCCACCAAATACCCCCGCACCCCTTCGCTGGAGGTCCCAGCGTACGACGTGCCCTGATTGTCCGTTCGTCTTTCACAGTTGCCTCCGATATTCTGCTAGGACTAATCATTGCTGAGAGCTTTGTCTTTTCGTGTTTCTGTGTCCTTTGATTTTTTTTCAAAGCAGCTCTCAAGATTTACCTCTTCACTGAACAAAACCTCTTGCGAGGACAGCCATGTTTGCTCACGAATGGGCTCAATAAAATCACCCGTTTTCACGAAGATGAATTTTCGAGTTTCTGGCTTGTTCTATGTTTCTCCGTAGCACTGGTCACTCCTACCCTAATGACTCTTATTTACAGATGGGACGCGAAAAGGACGTTTCAACGCGATTAATTCGACCGACTATTCCGGAATTTGACACCGCTCGTTTGCTTCTGTTTGTCGAACGATGGGATCCTAATTGGGAACATGATGCTTCTATAAAGGTGCAGTAAGCAAATCAATACTTTTAGAAACATTCTAGGAATAAGCTATGTAGTGTAACAACTATCCTATGCCTTTCAATGTTGCGCTAGAACTCCGCCCTTGTCGGAGACCACAAGAAAAACCACAAAAAACAGTTTACAGTCTTCTCTGCGGACGCTGGGGCGTTTCAATAAGGCTCGTTTTGGCGCACCCTCAGCCTACTGCCCACCAGTTGTGGTCGCCTGCCAAGTTCCGCAATTGGTGAAGAACAGACTGGCGCCGCGCGAAACCCAATCCCCTGGAACGCTCCAGCGTCCGCATGAACAAGACTGTACTCGAAATTTGCTTTTTTATAGATTTTCGACGAAGGTATCGCCCAATACATGCTGGCTGATGTTGAGTCCCACTACAAGTACATGGCAGCACTAATCCTTTCCAAACCGAGCCTCAGGTGTCGACTTGTCGACCAGGAACCAGACGATGTCTTGGACGCTGAGGGAAACAGAATCACTTTGGTATGAGTCAATTCATTCCGTCATCAATCTCATATCAACTAATCATTTTATCAGAAGCTGAAAAAGATGCATGCGCGCATGAGATACTGCAAACGACCCAAGAAAAAGGTCTGTGCCATCGTGATCCTTCTCTGTCTGGACCGGCAAATGACATTGCGCGTACAGTGAAGCCTGAGGGCGCGCCTCTCTTTGCGCTGTGATATGGACACTTTTTACACTACACTTTCACTTATTACACTGCATATCCCAGAGATGGGAGGGCGTGGCTACATACCTTCTCTGAGCAATTCGCGTTGGATGCGTTTTTCGTCGGATCTTTTCATTCGAGGCAGCTTTCGTCCTGTATTGTGTAGGACAAATATGTGATCAACATTGTGCTAAATCAGCACTATCCCTCCAAAAGCGCAACCGCAGCCCACCTCAAATGTACG